CCAACTTCAATATGATCATCAAATAGATTGGGATAATATTAAAATTTTAGATTCAAAATGTTCATTTTACAAAAGGTCTATCTTGGAAATGATCCATATCAAAAAGCAAATAAATGGTATAAACAATCAGAGTGATGCAGAAAAATTACCTGACATCTTTTTACTATTTATTTAATCTCTTTCATAATTTCGTTTTTTTTGTATAATTTCAATTTTTTATAATAATAATTAGTGGTCTTTCATTTCTCTAGATTTTTTTCCTAATTTTGCCCGACCAGAATGTTTTACCTTATTACATTACACATTTCCCCTTCTCCTTAATGTTAGATGTCTTCTTGTTGGGGTATATATATCTCAGGTTTCTACGTGAGGAAACACTTTAAGATTATTATTGACATGAATAACTGGATAATTACAATTCGTCCATGAACTAATCAGGATACGATATTTCAAGATATAGGTAATTTTATAAATTTTACACTTTTTTAATATTATGTTTTTAAAAATTAGGATAAAATCTAATTATACATATATATTTTAGTTTGGAAATTATAACTTAATGTTAACTATTCTAACAAATAAGATTGTATATTGCAGGAATTTTCTCAATTAATCGACAACTTAATCACATTACTAAATACTTAATCATATTCGATTGGGTTATTTTATATATTGACAAAAAGAAATTTTATCATTTTAGCTAGTATTAACTGTTATTTTATATGCGCAAATATTTTTACAATTTTATATACTGTATGTATTATGTATACTGAAGATGGCCACATTCAGGGCCGAAACATTTATATATTTTGATCAATTGTAACTAGCATAATTATTGTTAATTTTTGTAATTCCATATGCGAATATATTTATGATATTATTCACTAACAAGATCTAGTGTGTGGCTTATGCTCAACCTTTTTATTGTTTATAAAATTCTAGTTCGAATCGAAAAAGTATTTCCCTTCTTAGTTATGTTGTCGCATAATAATTTAATGTTATGTATTATTGTTTATTGCTTTTATTAATATACAAGGTGTACCCAATTTACAAGAGGAGCCGGTACGTACATATTCCTCATAAAAAAGTAAATCGAAAATGTTAACAACAAAATCTTAAGGCATCAATAGTTTTCAAACGGTATGAACAGTATAGTATAAATAGGATAGTATAAACAGAAATATTGCAAAATTGTTTAAACTGACCTTGTTTCAGCATTAAAAAAGTAACGGAAAAGTAACAAATAGTTACTTTTGAATATGGTAACGGTAACGGGATAAGGATTTATTTTTAAGAACCAGTAATTATAGTAACGGTTACTAATTACTTTTTCGATTTCATAACGAGTAATAACAACTAGTTACTTTTAAAAAGTAACTTTCCATTTCCTGCTTTTCATATCTTAGTATTGAACAATATAGAATCGCATACGTTCTATAAAAGAAAATTGATTTAACTCCAAGCTTATCATTTGTATGAGCGTAATAAACAAATATAATTCATATAATTTTATATATGGAAAAAAGATTAGACAAATAATTAATGTAAAATACCTGATACAAAGAAGGCCCAGCATTAAATAAGGCTCACATTCAAATTTATTATTTAAAAACACACTTTATATCAAGAATATACAGGGTGTCCCAGTAACTCTGTTACAAGGCAATATCTCCGTTACCGTTAATGATACGCGAAAATGCCTGAGGAAGAAATTGTTTGGTTCGAAGGGACACACATTATGGTGAGATTTATTTCTTTCTCAAGGTCATATTTTTAGAGCCTTCAAGGTCATCGATACTTTTT